ATATATATATATATATTTCTATTATATAGAAATGTGAGGTGGAGGACGACCAGTGGCAAAACTGTAAATATATGTTCATTTAAAGGGCAAATTGTTCAAGCATACCACGTGGCTGCCTCATATAAAAAACCTGTTACTCCTGACCAATGGCACTTCAGCAAATTTGACTTTATATAAGGGAAAAAAGGTAATTACGTCATGAGATTAAAGTGGACTCTGGAAGTATCCATTCCTCTCTAGAAGTATCGGTTTCTCTTTCTTCTCCCAAGAGAACAAATAAACAGACGCTAATAACTTATAAAACTCGACGGACGACGGAAAACAACAATTTTCTCTTCGTCTTCTCTTCATCCCTGTGACTCCAGGTATGATTTCCATTCAAATTTTGCTCAAATTTATTTTTGCTCTCTTCGTCAACCTTTGTTAATCGCTCTCTTTATTCTATTTACAAAGAATATCCCAATCTTGGATCCATCCTTTGTGTGAATCATCCGAACAAGGTCTGGACTTGACAACTGCTGGATTATTTCTGCAGCAGAAGTCTTGGAACAGACTTAAATTTAGAAAGGGATGTTCACAATAAGCCAACTCATTAATACCTCATTAAGGTTTCTGAGGTACCTTATCAGCAATAGTTAAGTACTCCACAAGTGCCCAGTGTATAATTGAGTGGTCCAGTATCCCTTTCTCCAAAATAGGCTGAAGTACAGAGGTCATGTGCCGTATAACTGAACCCTTTTGAAGCTGTTCATAAAATGTGAATGGCAGCTAAATTAGGAAATAAATGCATTCATTAAGTACAAATATGAATACAACGTAAAGTATATTTATCGAAAAAGAATCAACATGAACGCATCAATTTTAACACCAAATTTTGCTATCATTACACATAGTAAGGTGATTAGCAATTAAATGAACAATATCAGATGAAGGAGCAACAGTAAGGCGATATTTAAGAGAAAATGTCAACCAGAGTAAAACAAAAAAATATCATAAGGATATCCTGTTGAAGAACGTATCAATTTTAACAACAAATTTTGCTTTCAATACACATAGTAAGGTGATTAGCAATTTAATGAACAATATCAGATGAAGGAGCAACAGTAAGGCGATATTTAAGAGAAAATGTCAAGCAGAGTAAAACAAAAAAATATCATAAGGATATCCTGTTGAAGAAGAAAAAACATGTCCCAACCTGACATCACAACCTAGAAAACTTTTAAATTGTCTAAAGTACGCATGCAGCATGCTGTCACTAACAGCTAGGAATTACCTTGCTTCCTTCGCTGAGATCAAATCTTTGAACAACTGAAGCTCTGGGGAATACAGCTCCATCAGAAGAGTTTGTTTTTGAGCTGCATTTCCCAACTGATAAGCATGTTCAACAACTGCAATAGTAAAACCAGTGTTTTATTAAGGGAATTACTGGAAAGAAACCTTTCTCCCAAAATTACAGCTGGCAACAGCTAATGAACTGATTTTTAAACAGAAAAGTAGGATCGAGCAAAATAGAACGAAATTTGTGGCAAAAAATTAATCAAAACCAAGTTCACAGCAATAGGACAAGTCATCTTACCAAGTGAACCAACCATATGCCTAAGAAGAGTAGCAACATGCCCATGAAGAGCAGAAATAAATTATGCCTGCTGCTCTTTGGATGCTCCAAAGGTCATTTAAGGTGGAGGCACCATAGTGATAAACATTTAACCTCTACACAAACATACAATACTAAGCTGAAATATCAAAGCTGAGGTCTTACAATCCCAAATCCAAAGAAAAGTGCAAATTTTTTAACTGTAATATCAAGAAATATTTCAATTCAAATGTTAAACACCTGCATATGAATATACAAGCACAATGAATGCTTCTTTCTTCTCATGCTACAAATATGGGGAAGTTCATTGTTGGTGAAAAAGTTGTATATGAAGGAAGAGTTTAGCACTAATATTTTTCTTTTTAGCTAGAAAAGAGTGTAGTGTTTTTTCTGGCAGTTTAGGCAAGGCGTTGGTTCTTAGTTTCTAATTCACATCGTCTGGTATCTTGACATAGGTTAGATAGCTGAATGAGTTGTAAGTTGTTTTCTTATTGCCTGATATAGGGCTTGAATTCAAGGGAACTTTTAAAAGAGTTGAGTTAATACTTAATAGTATGGTGAACTTACAGAAATGTCAATTACAACATGCATTGTTAATATATGCTATGGGAGAATAGAAATCAAATTCTTGGAGCATAAACCTGAAAGGATACTTAATAACCTGATTTTCAGTATGAGCTTTAGAAATATGATCAACATGCTTCATAGTAAAGAAATAGTGATACATCTCAAGGGTATAATTGTCATTCTGCTTTGATATTTAATTTATTTTTTATGTATAAAAAATAATAGTTTACTTGTCCATTAAATCCCTTCCACGTGGCTGAATATTAAACACACAAATTTACAAAATATCTTGTATCTAGAAATTTCCATCATACCTTTAAATAATTCATCTTCTCTTCTCACAGATAGTTCATCTTCCTGGTATATCAAGTGTGTTTAGTCTTCTGACCTTCCAATTTTAGGTAAGTTCTTCATCAATTTTTTGGTCCTTCTCTCATATATGTATCTTTTTTCCTTTTTTTTTTCTTCTTACTCATATAGCTACTAAAATTTAAATGAGGAAACAACTTAACTAATTTTTCTTTTAATAATGAAGAGTAAAAAATTGACATACTACTTCAACATTTCTGCCGCAACATATTATTATCCATCATTTCTAGACGACATTTCACTCTGAAAATCTATGGAGACACCCTAACACACCAATACAGCAGGGACATAACAACAATTATGCCCAAGTCTCAAACAAGTAAGGTCGGCTATATGAATCCTCATTAACCACGTTAGAAAATAACAATATTACGGTGTGTTGAAAGCTATGTTGCATTGGCTCTTCACTTTGAATGTCGCACACATGTCGGATTTTACAAAAATATACTACATTTGGAGAATTTAACATGCGCCCACCGACATTTTTGAAGAGTTCAATCAACATAGTTTGAAAGTACATTGTTGCAAAAGGCGCACTTTCTTTTTTTCTTAATGTTGCATGAATCAGGAAGTGATTTTTCGGGCAGTGAAATTCCCAATTGATATAGTGTTGTCATAGAAACCTTGCAACTTTGTTCTTTGGTTCCAGTACATGGATTTCACAATAATTCTTGTTTGCTATTCTCTAATTATCCATTATTTAGACTTAAATGGAACAAAAGAACTATGTGTTGTTTGTTACTATTCTAATTCCATATTCTCTACTGCATTACTATTTAAATCAGCCTTACATTTTTAGCATTTTTAAATTTTGTTTTTCCTATTATACATGTCTATTATATTAGATCTAATTTAATATATGGTTTGAAATTTTAACTTTACAGAATTTCCACCTGTGTTTCACTTTTCTCTCAGTGTGTGGTAAGTATTACTCAACTAATTCCTTATTTAAAATTATTACTATTATTTACCAGATAATTATTTTGTCTAAAATTATTTTGATCCCAAAGATGTTAAGTAATATAAACCATAAAAATGTGCATGCTTTTCAAAAATCAAATGCGGATAAAAATGCTAGGAGACGTGAACTATACAGATTGATGCCACCTGAGAAAAAAGAAATTCTTCTAGCTCGCCGTCGAGCAAAGAGAGCTGAAATGAGAAAACATAACTTATCTAAAAGTTCAATGAATAATAATTTGGCAACTGCATCGTCTTCTAATTCCACCATGGTTTCTGTTGCACAAAGTTCTGATCTTATGAGAGAACCCATGTTGCTCCTATCAGAAATAGATAGTACTATGCCATCAAAAACTAATTATATCAAATTAAAAGAAGTATCAAATTGTCAATTTTGTAAAGCCATAAGATTTGAATATGAACCGCCTGCATTTTGTTGTAGCAATGGTTCTGTTCAATTAACTTCACATGAGATTCCAATAGAATTAAAAAACCTTTATTTGGAAAATACAGAGCTATCAAAACATTTTAGAACTTATATTAGAACGTACAATAATATATTTGCTTTCACATCTCTTGGGGTAACTTATGACAAAGAATTAGCAAAAAATAATAATGGTATTTATACTTTTCGGGTTCAAGGTCAGATGTATCATTTCATCAATGACTTGATTCCTACCGATAAAAAAGGAAAAAATCTTCAGTTATATTTCTTTGATAGTGAAAGTGAATTACGAAATCGAATGGCATGTTCAAATAAATTAAATGAGTATGTTGTGAGAACTCTGATGGAAATATTAAAAATTAATCCATACTCTATGTTTTTAAAATCTTTAGTAGATGTTCCACAACTATCTGATTTTTATATTGCACTTAAGTGTGATTCTGGCTTAGATCAGCGTATATATAACTTACCAACAGTATCAGAAGTTGCAGGAATATGGGTAGAACAAGATATTACTAATTCTATTCCTACACCACATATTCGAATATATACAAAAAGTGATAAAAGTCAATTGGTAAATTATTATTACGGTTGTTATGATCCATTGCAATATCCATTGCTATTTCCATATGGTCAAGGTGGATGGCACTGTGGTATTAAGAAAATTAAATGTTCTTCAAGAACATCAACACAAATATATTGCAAACAAGAACAACTACCAAGTATAAAAAATATGTGTTCAATAGATGGACTGCTTAGCATGGAAGCCCAAGTTATGCTAAAAGAAAAGCACAAACGAGGCACTATTTCTTGTCGTGAATATTATTGTTACAGACTTCAAATGAGAGATGATGAAAATATAGTCTTACATGCTGGAAGATTATTCCAACAATATGTAGTAGATGAATGGATAAAAATTGAAAGCCAACGATTAGACTTTGCTTCTTTTAATCAAGATTTAATTAGAACTGATGTATTAGATGGAATTTTGGATGTTTTACGTAAGGGGGAAAGAGAACCTTCACATATAGGAAAACAACGCATACTTCCACTTAGCTTTACTGGAGGTCCAAGAGATATGCGTAGACGATATATGGATGCTATTGCATTAGTGCAACGTTTTGGAAAACCTGATATATTTTTTACTATAACATGTAATCCTTCTTGGCCTGAAATAGAAGAAAAACTTATATCAACTAATGAGGTTCAAAATAGGCCTGATCTGGTTAGTAGAGTGTTTAGAGCAAAAGTAGAAGAATTAAAAAATGATATAATCAAAAGGCATATATTTGGTAAAGTTGCAGCATTTATGTATACAATAGAATTTCAAAAACGAGGACTTCCCCATGCTCATTTTCTTATTATACTAAATGATAATTACAAATTACTAACTCCAGAAGCATATGATCGATTTGTATGTGTTGAAATACCAAATGAAAATATATATCCCTATTTATACTCACTTGTTACACAACACATGATGCATGGTCCTTGTGGTAATTTGAATCCAACAAATTCTTGTATGAAAAAAAAAGGACGTTGTAAAAGTAAGTATCCTAAAGAGTTTGTAGAACAAACAACTAAAGGAAAAAATTCATACCCAATTTATAGAAGGCGAAATACAGGAAAAAGTGTGAAAATTAGAGGACACTTTCTTGATAACTCGTGGTTGTTCCTTATAATCCATATTTACTTTGTAAATTCAACTGTCATATAAATGTAGAGATTTGTTCAGATATAAAAGTTGTTAAGTACATTTATAAATACATTTGCAAAGGACATGATAAAATAGCATTTCATATACAGACTAATGATGTAAACCTAGAGATAGATGAAATAAAAGAATATCAATCTGCTAGGTGGGTATCACCACCTGAAGCTGCATGGAGAATATTCGCTTTTCCT